CAACAGGTCTCATTCCCCTGACCCTGAAAGAGACTCCAATCATTGGAAAAGATGAGTAAGAAGAGACTACTAAAATCTCAGGGCTGGGAGGAATAGAGATGTTACTGGCGCCCGCTGGAGTATATCGATGAACCATGGGATGACAGTGATACAGTGATTATATCAGCATGTGACAGGGACAAAAGGAGATGTTACTGGGGCTCACTCGAGCAAATCGATGAGCAACGGGATGACAAGTGATATATTATATGTATTATATATAATATAATATACTATAATATGTAATTTATATAATTAGGATCCTTCTGTTGTACAAGAAGGGATATATCCATGACATCGACAACTATTGCCTGATCTGACTGTTGTCCGTCGTCGAAAAGTTGTTCACTTAAGTCATCCTGAATAGAATAGGCAGAACACTAGATGAAGGACAACCATTGAGAAAGCTAGTTTCTGAAAAGGATTCAGCATGATTGACCATATCCACATGGTGACTAAGCTCATTGAGGTTTTGCGAGAGTTCAAGATGCCACTCTGTCTAATGTTCATTGATTTAAAGAAGCTTTTGATTCTGCTGAGACTGAAGTGGTCATCAAAGCCCTAGCCAAACAGGGCGTTCAAACTCAATACATCAGGATCCTCCATGAGCTGTATTACGGATTCACCACCAGGATCTCACCATTCTACAAGGAAGTGATCATCGACGTAAAGAGAGGGGTTTGGCAGGGTGATACCATTTCACTGAAACTCTTCAGTGTCACCCTTGAGTACGTCATGGGACGACTGAAATGGGAAGAAATGGGAGTGAAGATAGACAGTCGGCAACTACACCATCTCTGCTTCTCTGATGACATCGTTCTAATAACAACAAACATTAGCCAAATGGCACAAATACTGGCCTACTTTGACTGTGAGTGTGGAAAGGTTGGACTGCAGCTGAATCTCAACTGACAATGTTCATGAAAAAAGAACTAGTCTCTGACATTCTATTTGCCTTCAATGAAACGAACATCTCCGAATGCAGCAGCTATGAGTACCTAGGTCGAGAACTCAACATGAGGAATGACTTGGAGCCAGAACTGCGCAGGAGGAGCAGCGTGGAGCGCCTTCAAGAGCTTCAAAGAAGTTGTAAAGAGGACGAAGAACCTCTGGCTCTGGGCACATTTTTTCAACTCCACTCCACTGTTCTTCCTGCACTAACATACACCTCAGAGGTCTGGGCCCTATGAAAACAGGACGAGAATGCTATTCGGGTATCCCAAAGAGGACTTGAAAGAGCTATGCTTGGAGTATCACCCTTTACTCAAATGAGAGAAGGAATCCGGAGTTCTGATCTCTGTTCACGATTGAAGATCAGGGATGCTGCCTCATTTACCAAGGTGTTGAAAATCAGATGGGCTGGACACATAATTTGATTTGGAGACAACCACTGGACTAGAGCTGTTCCCGACTGGATTCCATGGGATGTCAAAAGAACACCTGGCTGCCCACCTATGAGATGGTCAGACTCCTTTGTCAAGATCCTGAACAAACGGTTTGATGTTCTTCGTGTTCCTGGAGTGAGCAGACACCACTGGGTTACATTAACACACGAAAGGGTTGAATGGAGACATTATTGGTGCACGCTTGAGCAAATCGATGAACAACGGGATGACAAGTGATTACAGTATATAATATATAAATTTCAGGTATACTATACTATAAATTTCCCTCCAACTACTGCTTTACTTGTACTCCACTGGTTTTCACAGGAATTGTTTTCACTTTTACTCATGCACAGCGGTAGGGTGTTCGCCTTACAAGCGGCCAACCTGGCCGACCCGAGTTCGATTCCTCCGCCCCTCTCGGAGAGCCCGGCAAGCTACCGAGAGTATTCGATATGCCAGACACAGTAACAACAAAGTCTCCAATGGAGACGTTACTGGGCCCGCTCGAGCAAATCAACGATCAACGGGAGGGCCTTTTCTTACTAATATCTTTTTAAAAAAGTTATCAGCTAAGCATAATTTATTTAAAAACAAGCTATTTAGTTTCCAAATATTTGGTGGAATTTTTCATATTTATGATACAAATTTCACATATTTGTTATTAATTCTTTGTGTTCAGAGAACATATTTTGTTTGATTAAAAAGAGACTGACATATACTTTGCATGACATCAATTCTTTTAAATTGACAGAAATTTATTCGAGTTGAGCACATATTTTTTTCTTGATAAATATTTACTGTACTTGAAACCATGAAACAGTTATTATTCATTAAGGTGTTTGATAAATGTTAATCAATTTGATTGATAACATTGTTCAAGTTTCCATTTTTTTACTGGTACTTGTTAGATTTACTTAATAAAAACTTGACTATAATTATGAATTTTAAAATTTCTTCTTTAAGTTCTATCAGTTTGCTTCAGATACTTTGAAACCCATTTATTTATTGGTTTTTGGGCCACACCTGGAGGTACTCAAGAGTCACACCTGGTAGTACTCGGGAAAACATGCAATGTCAGGCTTCAAACCCAGGTTTTCTTTCCTCCCCATCCCAACAAGACCCCAAGTCATCGCCCACGAATGGCCTCTCTGGCTCCTGATCAAGCTGCTTAATGGCCATGATCCCAGAGACTCAGGAACAATTCTCGGAACCCAGCAGGTTTTGGCAGAAATCCCTCCAGATTTAATTGTTAAAATTTCAGAATTTCAAAATCGTGCGGCCACTGCTGCGGCCATGCGACATCATATGTTATTCATAAACAGCAATAGAAAAAATTGTCTACGGTTGCCTTTTTGGCAGATCTGAGTGTTGGGGTAAAATTCCAAATAATAATGGTGGGTCTGGTATCAAAATATTGAATGTAATCAAAGTAGAGAGAGAGTAATGTGGAAATCATCTGCCCCACAGGTAGGGGGAGGGCGTAGGAGGGGGTATACTGGGGTTTATGAGGGTGGAGAATGGGCACTGGTGAAGGTACGGTTGTTTCATTGTATGACTGAGACTTAAACCTGAAAGCTTTGTAACAGTTCTCATGGTGATTCAATAAATAAAAGTATAAAAAATGAAAAAAAAAACAGGTCTTCTGCATGCATCAGCCTGATAGAAACTCTTATTAAGCGTGAATTTTTTTTAGATTTGTTATGTCCATTTGATATGTCTTTTTATCTCTGGTAACGTTTCTTGCTCTGAAAATTTAAATATCAATATAACTATAGGTATTTAAAATACAGATTTATCAAATTTTCTCTCAAAAAGTTTTGTTATTTTATAAGATTCCACCCTCCCACCTCCCCCTGAACTGGGCCATATTTATTGAGAGTTTTCATATGAGCCTTCCTCTAAATACATAATATTGCTTCTGAAGTTGGGATGAACTAACAATCATGTTATATTTCTGGTTCTTAGTGGGTGGGTACTGCCGTATAAGTACCGCGCGATAACTGATTGCGCCACTGGGTGTTGGGCCAACCTGGGATACTCAGGGAACCATGGAAGCCCCTGCTTGAAATGCATCGTACACTGGCCCTTTGAACTAGCTTGGGGCCCCAAGTCTCAGTTCTTACGATGAACAGCTCTGCCACTGCATGTGTGAGTGCAGGCCAGAATAAAGGCATGGGGTGAAGGGGGTCGGATCAAGATTTAAAATGCCTGTCAGGTAAATTAGATCTTTCGCCAAAAACAAAACACACTTGTAATATCAAAGTCACTGCGAATAAGAAATGGGATCTGCTAATTGAACCAAAGATTTAAGTAAGCATTTCCCCCCTGATGCGTGGGAATAAAACCACAGTGTTTGTGGCATTTGGTAAAGAGATTGGTGAGTACAGGAAAGCAGAAAAGGTTCGCTCAAACGTTCCTTGTATCTGCTGTTAGAATCACCCAGTCGGCAGCTGTTCCCAGGTGTTTCCACCCCAGAGGTGGAAACACGTAGGTGGGCAGAGACAGGTAGATCCAGGGTGCTCCCGTCCCAGCAGGCCCGCCACTTTGAAGCTGGTTCTCCTAGCAGTGTGTTTGTCCAGTCTTTGGACCACGGCATCCTGAACGCTGACCTGCACGAGGCAGCAGCAACAGCCCCGCTCCCGGCCCGGCCCCTCGGCTTAAGCCCTCAGAGCCAGAGAGCCTCTGTTTTGTAGGCGCCGCAGTGACCAGAGCTGGGAAGAGAATGCCGGCTAATTATTGTTTAATTACTGCTTAAGCGCCAATTGGCACAATACAGTCCCTGCACGGATCGCCCCATCCAGCATCTGCTCGCTTTTCTTCCTTTTCTTGGCGGGGGTAGTGGCGTCCCCTTGCTTCCCGGGCCCTCTCCCCACTTCCACCGCAACGCAGCTCGCAAGCACACCCCCGTCCTCCGGGGCCAACCGAGCCCCCCGTTCCCACGGGAGAGGAGGACACGACCAAGCAGGCCCGGGACCGGGGAGTTTTGACAGCCGTCCGGGAGGAGCGCGGCGGCGCGGGCCGAGCGGGAGGCGGGCAGGGAGACGCGCGCCGGGCGCGGCCGGGCGGGCGGGAGGCGCGGGCGGCGGCGCGGGAGGGACGCGCCGGACAAAGGCTCGGGGCGCCCGAGCCGCGGCGCGGGTGCCGGGGCGGCGGGGCGGGGCCGCGCGGGCGATGGTGCGGCCGCGGCGCGCGGGGCCGGGCGGCCGCGGGGCGGGGCGGGGGGCCGGGGCCGCTGCGGGGCCGTGAGCGGGCGCGGCCGCCAGACGTCCCCGCGCGCACCTGGCCGCGCCCGCCCGCCCGGCTCCGGGGCTTCCCGCGGGCGCGGGCCGGCGGCCGAGCGCGGCCGAACAATAGCGGGGCTGCGGGGAGGGCGCGGCGCGAGCCCCGGCCCGGGCCCGGAGCGGGTCCTTGTGGGCCGGAGCGCGGGGCCGGGGCCGGGGGAGGAGCCGGGGGAGCCGGGCGGCCGCGGGAGGGCGGCTGCGAGCGCGGAGCGAGGAGGAGGAGGAGGCGGAGGAGGCGGAGGAGGAGGAGGAGGCGGCGGCGGCGGCGGCGGCGGCGGCGGCGGCGGCGAGGGCGGGCGCGAGGGGAGGCGCGGGGCCGGGCGCGCCGAACAATAGACGCGGGCGGGCGGCCGGCGCGGGAGCGGCAGCGGGCGGCCAGCGCCCCGGAGCGCCCATGGGGCGGCGCGTCCCGTCCTGAGGCGGCCGCGCCCCGCCCGCCGCCCCGACCCCGCGGCCGCCGCAGTCATGAACCCCCCGGAGGGGGCCGCGGACGAGGGAGGAGCCGCCGACTCGGACGTGGACGCCTTTTTCCGCACAGGTGAGCGGGCCGGGCGCGGGCGCGGACAAGTTTGGGGGCGGCGCGGGGGCGGCGGGTCGCGGGCCGGCCCGGGGGCGCCCGGCGCTGTCAGCGGCGGCGGCCGCCCCCCGCCCGCCCGCCGGCGCGCCCCCCGGCCGCGGCGCCGAGCCCCCCACCTGTGGCCGCCGGCTCGGGCGCGGGGACTCCCCGCGCACCGTTACCTGTGGCTTCCCCCCGCTGCCGCCCGCGGCTGCCTGCGACCATTTTGTTCGCGATCTTTGTCCCAAGAAGTCCAGAGAGCCGCGGGGGGCCCGCGGGGGGCGAGTCGGGAGGGAGGACGGGAACGGGTGCGGGCAGCGGTCGGGCAGCGCCGGAGCGGCGCTCGCCGGGCACGTCCATCGGTTCCCTCGCGGCGTGCTGCGCCCCGCGGGGCAGCTCCGGGAAGGGGGTGGGGCACTTCGTCGGGGACTTGTGGCTTTAGAAGGCAAGCCTCGACGGGCTCGCGTGGACACAGCCCCCGGGCAAAGCTGGGGAACGGGAGCGAGTGCCGGGAGCTGGCGAGCACGGAGGGAGCGCGTCCTCCCCACCTGCAGCCCTGCCGCGGCCAGGCTTCCTTCCTGGGCTGCAGAAGTGCATTCTCTCTGCTGCTCTCCCTGACCCTCAGTCTCTGTCTCTGTCTCCGACACACTCGCACGCACACACGCACGCACGCGCAGGGCCCAAGACCCAAAGCAGGCGTGCTCTTTCACCAAGGTTCCTGGCCCGAGGTAATGACCCAGGGGGAGCGCTCCTCTAGGTCTCCCTGATCCACTCCCGTCTGGAAAAGTTAGCCTTTTCTTTAACTCGGGAAAACTCTTGTAAGGTGAGGCATCTCGTCCTGCCATTCTGGACCTCACTTTCATCCTTTGACAAGTAATCCTTACCCTTCCCAAGTCATACAAACACGAGTTTCTGCTCTTTCTCAGTCCTGGGCCCTTGGAGCTGAGCTCATTTTCTGGAGGCTTGCTAATTTCTGACAAATGAATTCACACAGTGTTAATGGTGTTAATGGCCTATAATGGTCCAATGTGTTACTTTTCCCAGGGCCTTTCAAAACACTACCTTTGGTGTTCATTGTCAAAACCTGGCTCCACTCACAGAATAAATAGCACACTGGGCTCTGTCTCCTTAGGCACCACTGTGGGGGATATACTGGACAGTCGTGCCTGGGCTGCATTGTTGAGGAGGGGCGCTGGGTTTGATGTGCATTTGAAATCTGAGAAGGGTGAAGTCCTCTGTGCACAAGGCTGGAAGTCACTATAGCCTGTAAAAAGTGACAGGGAGGCTGCTAGTGGCTGAGTCTCGGACCTCCACCTACCCTGCATAGGCTTTTGTATCTGGTTCTTGATTTTACCTGTCCAGCCTCTATCTAGTTTGGATTTTTGCTGGGGGTTCTTAAACCCGAAAAGGTCCCATTTCTTTTTCTTTTTTTATTAGTGAGACATATGAGGTACAGTTGTAGACTTACAAATTTTTGTGCTGAAAAAGTCCCACTTCTTAACCTTCACTCTTCTGATTCCCCATCTCTAGAGTGCTGTGCTTAGGAGACTTGGATAGATTACACATTCAAATTATTTTGGATTCAGTTGAACAATTGAGAAAACATCAAACAGATTTTCAAGGCCGCTAGTTCCAGAGTTGTCCCCTTATTTCTGGTGGAAAATTTTGTATGCACAAAGATCAGGCTGGCAACTGCTTTGCCAAAACTCTGTCTTACTGTATCTTTAATTAGGCATGTTTTGAATCATTCTGTCATTTTGGCTCCTCGCTTGTCCTCTTCCGATTATTTTGGTATTTCAGGTCTCTCTACCAACCGTTCCAGCAAGATTACCTAAGTTGCACTTCTGCAAGCACCCTTCCCCTCTCGAGACCACTCTTACGCATTGTTAGATTCTATCATGTCTTCCATGGATTTTTCTGCTCCAAGCCAGAGAATGTGTACCACAGTACCTTTATTGATCATACTTATGAAGTGGGGTGTGTGGGGGGGGGGGGTGATGGGAACTCAGAACTGGGACTATAAATTGAATTGTAGTGTAGATATAGAAAACCAAGGACCTTTCAGCTCCGATTAGGATTCTTCTGCTGTCCAGGGTACTGTGGGATAGAAAAGAAATACTCAGTTTCTCTGCCCTTCAAGAAAGTCTGAAAACGACTTGTCAGATACTGCTCATTTAGAGTCATTAATTGACAAACTATTATGGTGAAATAAGACAACTGTAGAGGAGGCAGAAGGGGTGGTAATTTGTAGATGGGGGTAGGATGGGAGCAGTGTGGACAAAGGCATGTGGGAGATTGGAGCATTGAAGATGAGAACCCTAGATTGATGGGGTGGCTGGCATAGGTTAGGGAGGATGGCGAGCAGGGTTGGGTGAGTTGGGCAGGGCCAGGTAGGGAGAGTCTTGGAAGCTCAAGAGGGGAGTGTAGGTTTGATTAAAGGGTAAATAGGGAGTCACTTAAAGGTTTTGAAAGAGGGTACATCCTGAAGAAAGTGGTGTTCGGAAGGTGAATCTGAGGGGAGTCTGACTGATAAGTGGAAAAGAGTGAGGCAGAATCCAGGGAAATGCAAAAGTTATCTAGAGGGACAGTGGGGTTTGGTTGGGGTTAGTGGCAGAAGGAGTTGGAGTAAGGGACAACTTGAGTGACATTGTCAAAGGTAAATATGGGAACTTGAGACTGGAGTGATAGGACAGCAGGTATGGGACGCATTCAACCTGGGTTTAATCTCCGGTACCCCATAAGGTTTCCCAAGTACTACCAGGAGTGATCCTTGAGTGAAGAACAAGGAGTAAACCAGGAACACAGATGGATGTGTCCCCCAAACTAAACAACAAAGGGGATAGGATTTGTTGACAAAATAGTGATAGGGAGAAAAGAGAATAAAAGCCTCTAGGAAACTGAAGTACTTCGTGAGAGCCTGGAGGGTGGATGTGGTTTGGTTGACAGGAGTGGGTATTGCAAGGCATAGAATGATTTTAGTTCTAGACATGGAGAACTGGAGAAAACTGAGGAAGACCACAGAGAGTCATTCAGTGGGAATTGTGGGATGCGGGCGAAAGTGGGGGATTAGGACTAGAGTTTGGACTCAGGTGTCTTTGTGTCAAGGCTGGATGTAGCTGTGACTCTGTGAATAAATGTGATGGCTCTGAGAGAGAGAGGAGGCAGTAGGAAAAGAGTTTGGGGAGAAACCAGTGTCTTGGAAGTGGCAGAAAGGAGATGAGCCTGTGGTCCCTAGGGAGATAGCATGGATTCTGATATGATGATAGCTGGTAGATGGTTGAGCAGGAGGAACACTGTGTAAAAGTCACTGAATGTGATAGAATGGCAGGCTACTGGGAGCCCTCATAAGACATCATTAGGAGGGGTATTTAGAGTGGCGACTTGCGTACTGGGCAGAAATTTTGTTTTAAAAATTTATCAATGAAAATTAAAAGAGGTTGGCTGCTGGTTTGAAATGATGTGAAAGGAAAAGTGTTTGATTTTTCCTAGTGTCAGAACAGATTTGGAGATGGAAGGGAGAGAGCTCTAGGCAGGAAAAATCGAAGGTTCTAGTAAATTGGCTATTGAGTTAGGTACCAGGAAAGGTGAGACAAAACTTGCTTTTCTAACAGAAGTAATATATTAGCTTTGTTGAGCAGAGGATAACACTCACTTTTTTAAGACAAAATAAAATAAGTGAAGAGACTCTGAAAAATTGGTTTATTTTTATTTTTTTTGAAACTGCATTTTATTGTAGCACTGTGAATTACATAGTTATGTTTTTGGAGATCAAATGTTCCATCACCAATCCCACCATCAGTGTCAACTTCCCTCTACCACCAGAGTTCCCAGATTCCCTCTCCTACCTCCCCAACCCCTCCCCAGCCCCAGCCTGCCACCTTGACAGGCGCTGGAAAGATTGACGAGGTGTGTTCTATCTGAGCTTGGGCAGAGGAGTTCAGGAATTTTGACTAGAGTGTTTGCTTTTACTTGTACTTTGACCAGCTTCAGACTCTCCATTTTCTTCTCCAAAATAACCAAAGTACCAACTATGCAATGACTCCTCCTTCTCTTTCTTAACATGTAAATGACATTTTTTCCTCGGTCATGATATTTAAAATCTTGGTGCTGTTTGTGAGAAATTTCTATCCTCTAATAAATCTTTTTGAATTACTCTCTAGTTAGCCCTTGCTAGTTGATAGTGCCTCTGGTTCAGACCAGGGTCTGTTACACCACGCCAGGACTCCTTTCATAGCTTTCATTCTTATCCTCGGATGCTGCCTTTTTACCCCTCTGTTTCATATTGGTGCCCTCAAGGCACCTTGTAGTTCCTCATAGGGATCACATTACTTGCTTTCAACTCTACCTGGCTTATGAGCTACAGTGATTCCTGAGTACCTCTAGACTTAAGTCTAATTGTATTTCATAGCATTTGGAAGAGATGAGGAAAGGTGTAGGAATAAACAGAAACTAAAGAAAGAAATTAGGTGAGAAGAAATATTTTCTTGACTATGTTTATCAATGAAACACTAGAATAGGTAAACTGAAGATCATTTTTAGTTGATCCTCAGTTTGCGGAGTGCGGAGTGATCATTCTCACCTTTCAAAGTTCTTTATTGTTCTGCAACTTCTGGAAATAATCAGTTATGATATAGTCCAGTGGTTCACAATGAGGAGCAATTTAATAATGCTTGGGAGACAGTTTTAAGGTTGTGACTACTTAGCGATTTTGGTTACATTTGGCATTTGGTAGGTAGAGCCCTGTGATTTGGCAACGTATATTAACTCCTTTTTCTTCTTTTTTCTATACACAGTGGTGCTCACGGGGCTATTTGTGGCAGCATTTAGGGGATCATGTGGTGCCAGGGATAGAATCTGTGCCTCCCACATGCAAAGCAGACACATTAACATCTTGAGCAATTACCCTCACTCCTTAACATTTTTTAGTACACAGGATGATGTAGACATTTTCAGTCCCATAATAGTTTTGAGGGTTAGAAGCC